TATATATATGTATATATTATATTTTATATGTATATGTATACAAATTATATATAAAATGCTTCTTTTTTCTTTAATCTAATTTAATATAAATATAATTAAAGCGAAAATGTAGTATTATATGGAAATCTGCGTTTTGCTTTGTCTGATCGATAGACTGTGTGCATTACCTCTTTTCCTTCATACGCATTACTTCTTCTTGAATGAATCTGTTTGTCATCGAGCATACGATCGCATACCAATGGTGGATGGATCGAGTACACACCCAGTGGGAATTTCGAGTCGCCGGCGCGATACTCGAAATTGGCGGATTCCATCTTTCGTATTGCGGTCTTGGTTGACATAATGATCGAGTAGACTTTACCGGTTTCTTTCGGGGAAAAATGTCAATCAAACAACGACAGCCGCGAGACGTTGCGTGCACGACGATTCTTCATCAGGACTCCTGCGGATTATTATCTTTAGGGACGATGCCCGGAATTGTACGTATATTCACACACGATGTTTCCTGCGCCGGCAAGACGATGACCCTTGGTACCGAAAACACGGCGAGAGAAGCTGAGGTAACCCGATAGGAACGATTGCGTCGACCGGTATACCGTCGTTGACTGTTTGCCGACGGGTAACCGTTCTTTTGTTTGTTCGATAGGAGGAATTATGCCAAGAGATACAAATGGCCGATCGTGTTACGTGGGATCGTGTTTCACGTTAGCACGAATTGACGGACGATAATCTTGCAAATGAGCCATGAAATTCAGCGCGCTAGAGGTCTCGAAGAAGATGCAAATATTCATGGGGATGCGTTTTGATATATTTATTAACTCCTCTTGTCAGGAAATAATACAGAATGTTCGAAAAATAACTATATATGTATATGTATATATTAGGGTGGTCGTTAAAATTATCGCTGCCGCCCTCTAAAATAGTAATTGATAAAAAAAAAGTTCTGTAAAACCCCAAGTCTGTAAATTAAAGTGAACAGGTATATCTTGAAAAGAGAAGTTTGGAAAACAAATTTTTTATTTTTGCTTTGTTAATTAGCTAAGCAATCGAATTTTAATGAATTTTTTATATCAATCACACAAAAAAAATTTCTTAACTGCTGATACAGCTAATTAACAAAGCAAAAATAAAAAAAAACGTCTTCCAAACTTTTCTTTTCAAGAGGCACCTTAATTTACTTCACTTTAATTTACAGACTTGGGGTTTTACAGAACTTTTTTTTTATCAATTATTACTCTTTTTAGGGGGCGGCAGCGATAATTTCTTTTTTAACGACCACTCTAATATATATACTTCTATTTCAAATATTAAACAAAATATTTATCAAACATTATTAGCAAATTAGTCTTTCTTTTCACAAAAGATGTTGGAAGTGACCTCTACGAACATGCAGACCAGCCTTAACTCGTCTAATCTTGTTATTGAAAACCTTCTTCAATTCTTCTGATGATATGCTTTTGATGACAAATCTCTGATAGCAACTTCAAGATTTTACGCTCTTATGTTATTAATTAAATACAGGCGTATAGTCACTTTCCGAACATTCTGTATAATTCTTTGTCTACACAAAATATATAGAACAAAAAAGGGATATACAAATTTTTTTACGAATCACAAGAAAGATCAAATTATGCAAAAAAGGAGCATATAAAATGTGCGTAATCTATCGTCGTCCTGGCTCATAAAATAAGGATAATGGTTTGCGTGACACATGCAAAAGACAAGGACAAAGGGGAAGAAAAAATAAGGGAAACTCTTTGCAACGTAAAATTATTTATACGCATGTGTACACTTATCGCATGAGCGAAATTAAGCAAAGGCCGCGCAACGGTAGCTAGATAAGGCGGATGAAAAAAGATATAATTCACGCTATTTGAAACGCATTTATTATTTTATTTTATTTTTTTTATTTTTTTTTTAAACGCAAGCGATTGATCGACACGATTGTTACCAGCAGATAGAAGATATGGATATATACATATGTACTTAATATCCAATAAGATACGTCTGCATACCTTTGATGCAATCGCGCAGCGAGGTGAATGTTTATTAAAAATGCTACATTGCAGTATCCAATATTGCAACCCCCCCCATTTGTCATTGCCCTTCATTACGCAGTCTCACCCCTACACCTTGACCTTCGCCATCAGTTGCCATGAGAACGTAATTCGTACCGAGACTATATACTCTACTCCTTTCGCATGTATAATTTATTTCTCATCAACGTGAATCATCACTTTTTTCTTCTTCATCGCTTTCATCTTCTTCTTTCTTTTCTTCTTTGCTTTTCGTAGTTTCGCGTATCATATCGTACGAGCAAGAATTGCTAATGAAGTGTGTAGAATAGCTCAAGTCTAATAACTCGGAAATGACACATTAACATTGCGAGCAATAATTATCCGATCAATATCTAGAGATAGAGGTTTTGCGCAAGTATAGTTGTCTTCGAACAACAAAATTCAAGAGATAAAAAATAATCGATCGCCGCATCTAGGGACATGCTTTATGTGTGAGTTAAATTTAGCCTGAAGTTTAAGTCTTGAACGAAAGAGAGGAGAGAAAGGAAGAATTGGGTTAACTCGAAGAAACAATATCTTTTACGCATAAGATAACACAACTTTTCCTTTGAAAAAATATGAAAATTGAATAGTACATTCTTTTTATATATCTAATTGACACACGCACGCACGCACATGCACTCGCACGCATATATATATACATATATACAGGATAGGCCATTTTAATGTACCCACTGAAATATCTTAAAATTTATAAGTTTAAGACAAAAATGTTTTAGACAAAAGTTGTATGAGTTCCCTACAACTTTTATCCGAGTCGTTTTCCTTCAAACGTTGATCCTGAAAAGTTATAAGGGTGGAACTTTTAAAATGGGACACCCTGTATATATATTTTTGTACAATTCTTTCATGCAACTTGACATAAACAGAAAGGTCATGCGGTCGTTTTCTTTCCGTTATCTACAGGAATGTAGATGAGCGATTCCAGCAGATACCTTCCAAAATGTTCGTTTAGAGTTTGAGAATCTTCTTTATTTTATTGTTTAGCAAATAATAGAGAACATTTTGAACATTTGCTACAATAGACGACACTGTAAAGTAAATAAATTGTACTCTAAATTGTATCTTCATATTCAAAATTTTTTTTTTTGATGATGCTTAAACTTCCAAGTATGATTTCTGAAAAATATCCACTCAAATTAAAAAAAAAAACAAACACGGTTGTAAAGAGAATCAAAAGATCTTCAAAATAATGTGCCACATAACCCCTATTGCCATTTAAGATTTTTGAAGGGGTAGCTACCCCAACGAAAGGGAGCAAGCAATATCGTTGCATTTATCTTACTTATACGTTCCCATCGAAAACAAAATTGATCCTTTTTGGCATTTTTCGAAAAAATTTATCGGTCACAAAATAAACAGGGAGGAAATTTTTCAAATGAACACCCTGTATTATATATACAGGGTATTTCTAGGGTATTAAAAGGCTTGTACGGGTATTTCTCACCCGTACAAGCCTTTTAAGAAAAAGGGAAGTGGATCAAAAATCGTAAAAATTTCGATGACTAAATCGGGTGCTATCGCTCTATTGCAGTGCTCGGATTTAGTTGCACATTTCGGCCCGATTCCGTGGCTCACGCCTATTGCCCCCCACTCACCGCTCATACGTTAGCGACGAGTCGCCAGATACGCGTAACTAAGGAGCGCGACGCTTTGTCTCAGGAGCGTCCGTATATAAGAATGTCCAAATATAATAGTAAGACAATACTTTTCTAAATGCACCGCGAAAATTCTCAAAATTAAAAGTTTTTCTTCAATATTTTATATCAATGAAATATAAAATATTGAAGAAAAACTTTTAATTTTGAGAATTTTCGCGGTGCATTTTGTAAGATAGAAGTAACATTAAGAGCACCCGTTATCAATCATGCGAATAGAACACCCGTTAGACCTAAGATCCGTTCGAGTGCGAATTCGAGTTCGAGATATGTCGGGCTTACAAGCGCGAATGAGGTCATGCCACGAGGCATATCGATAGGTATCGAATTATGACGTATATGAAAAATCGAGTATAAAACGGCGTAGCTCGGCGAACGCAGAGAGAAATCTTTGAGAATTTGAGAGTTCGCTGTCGACTTATACAAAAGCTACTAGTAAATTCCTTTCGGTTCTGACTGTATTATTTTAACGTTAAATAAAGTATAACGATTATTCTACAGTTTAGAAAAGTATTGTCTTACTATTATATTTGGAAATTCTTATATACGGACGCTCCTGAGACAAAGCGTCGCGCTCCTTAGTTACGCGTATCTGGCGACTCGTCGCTAACGCACGAGCGGTGAGTGGGGGGCAATAGGCGTGAGCCACGGAATCGGGCCGAAATGTGCAACTAAATCCGAGCACTGCTCTATTGTATGATGATATTTTCATCTTCCGGTGCCGACCGGAAATGAGTTATCCAGATAAAAAGTCGAATTTTTTAAGTGGAACATGGCACTTTTTATTGGAAGATTCGGATTCCCGAAAAATAAGAAACTTTCGTCCCATTTTCTAAAATGCCTCCATCGACCTTGGATTTTAATTATATATTATTTTAATTATATATATATATATTTATGTAATTATTTTATATTATAAATATTTTTCATGTATAGTAAAAATGTAAAACTGCAGATCTCGCGACGCAGCCACCAGCCGGCGCCGCGGCGGCGTCAAGCCGCGGATGATCCGGCGTCCGGCGTGTGGCCGCGGACTGGCGACAATGCCGTTGTGGCGCAGGTCGTCGTTGTCGTCGTTGCCCCCCGCTGTCGTTGATCCGAGAGAACTACTAACGACAGCAAACTCCCCGTCGACGGTAACGACCCCATGGCGTACCACGTGGCGCTGCTATGTGTACCTCGGGACACAGCGATCGTACTCGCGTGCGGCACACCGGCTCTAGCGCATCGTGGTCTGTCGCGTCGGCGTCGCCTGTCCCTATATGGTGAAATTACACCGATAAATTGGAGACCATTGCAGGAGACGACTTCAAGTGCGACATACGATGGATTATCGATGATGCTTGTGTCTCGCAAACCATGGATGGGAGGGCAACGTCATCCTTTTTGGAAAATTCAATGAAAACGAATAAAAAATAAATATCGAAGCTCCCTTGCAGCTCCTTTTTTTTAAATTTGTGTAAATATTAATTTTTGTTTAAAACACGATGTTGTTGGTAATGAAATATTCAAGTGAATGTGTCTACATTGAATCGAACATGAATCTTTCGACAATGCGGTCCGAATAAACAACGAGGATGTCACGGATACGTCTGGATAGAAGCTCGCCACTGTGACTCCATAATGACTCGCCGATCTCTTAGCGCAGATCTGTCCGCACGAGATGATGATGTGCGCCCGAGATGATGGTCGTCATCATCGAGAAATGATAGTCGCGGAACATTCTGGAACTCCTCTGTCTATCGAGTGAGTACGTACATATTTCTTTTTACTTAAAATATATTTAATAATTATGTGCCTCTCCCTGTGTCCAATCTTCTCGATATTTTCATTGGAATCCATCCAATTCTCGATTATCAACAACGAAGCGTACATTTTACCTTTCAGCTTGTTTAATCAAATAAGAGCAATTAGAGTTAAAAGTATACTTAAAGATTATACTTAAATAGATCGATATAATTTGCATTATGGAAAAAATGTACATCTCATCTGCCTTTACTGTTAGTATTATATTTACTGTCGCTCGACGCTTGCCATCACAAGAATTCGAGCGAGGCATATCAACGCAAGATCACGACATTTGGTCGACTTTCCATCGGGTCTCTCTGCAAAACTTCTTCCATTCAATCGAAAGGCTCTGCTTTTGCATGAAGCGTGCACTATATTCTATAAGCGCAGATATAGATATTATCACCGGTGGAGCTTCTCGGAAAAGGGCGGTGTCATGAACCGACGATTTTCTCGCGCCAGCCGATTTCTCGAAGCTCAATATTCGCGAAGCAAAGATGTCGATGACCCTTATATATACCCGGACGTAGATAACGCGAGAAGCAAAGGCGCACGTAAAGATCTATCTATAGACATATGTGTTTTCATCGCGTGGCGCGGCCACACATCGCCGCACATATATAATGTCATTGTCGTTGTCACAACAAAGACCTTCCCCCACCCTCTTCGAGGAACGATATCTCTTATGCTTTTGCGACCCCACCCCTCTCCCGCAAATTAAATAATTAAAATTGAATATAATAGAGATATATTGTATATATATATATATATATATATATATATATATATATATATATGTATGTATATATATATAGTTATACATGCTTGTCAATATATTTTATCCCAAACCGGGAGCGAGTTAATATTTCAATATAAAGCATTATATGACGTAATATATGCCGCAAATATGTTTTTCGGTAAGTAATCCTTTGCGCATGTACGAGATCCTCCGTCGGGACTTATAACTTAACAATGCCAAGGTCTAACTAATATTCCTATCTCTTTTCCCCCTCAGAACCAAACAACTTTTGTCTAAAAAGTTTCCTTCTAAAACTTACAGGTTTTGAGATATTTGCCTGTTAAGATTAAAAAGACTCACCCTATAACATTCCCTATAACACCCTATAACGTATAACATTCGCTGGAAAGTGGCAAGAAACGACACTCTCTCGTATATGTCATAGATAGTAGTACAAGCTTGTACACTCTCTAAGCGTTCTTATATAACATGCAGAACTACGCCTCAGGATACGCGTGAATGTAAAGGAAGGGGGGACGTAAATTATGAAAAAGTTTCTTCCTTTTTTCGAAAAGGTTCTGTTCTCTCTCTCTCTCTCTCTTTTTCTTTCTCTCTTTCTCTCTCTCTCTCTCTCCCCTCTCCCTCCCTCTCTATCTCTCTCTCTCTCTCTCTCTTTCTACCTGGTTATATGCCCATCGTATTAATATTATCCGTAAAGGGTGCATCTGCGTTCATCCCCCTCGTATTGACGATAGACATTTGAAAGTTCTCCGGCCTCAACTTGTGGAGAACACCATAGAAATTGTATTTTTTCGCAACAATGTCGAAACGACTTTCCTAACTTGGAAATGGTGTGGTTACGACGCAAACGACTTTCGCGTTCGTTTACAAGACTCGTCGAACAGCGAAAGTCTATAAAAAAAGAGGATCTTATGAAAATAATATTTAATAGCCCCCTATTTATCTCTCGACGTTAATGGCTCTTTTAAATAATTATTCCGTTTCTCAAGAAGATTAATGTTCAGCATCTAATGTACGATTTGAAATCATCGCGTGTCGATACCTGTAAAAAAAATATGAATTAAAATGAACAACTTGGCGCGTGTAATTCAAGTTTTACGACGGCGCTTGGTCGCGTCTCTACTTTTTTTTATCATCGTGGACTTATCGTTAATCCTTGAACGGTCGTACAACCGCATAAAACTGCAGATAAGGGAAGCATTAGCACGGCTCTCATGATGCTCGCAATGTTGCTTAACATGTTTTACAATCGAGGCATTTAAATATCGAGCGCTGCTCATAGAGACCTTTGCTGCGGAGACGAGAAAGAAAGGAACGCGTCATTCCGCGGAATCGGAACATTGTTAAATTTCAAGAATTTAGACCCTCGGTCTTCGACAGATTTTAATAAGGAATAAATTCCTCGAGCCGTGTAGACATGTAAAAAAAAAGAAATGAATTACACGGAGACATCAACGTGATCGACTCGCGACTGTCCCTTCTCTTCGTCCTTCCGCCTGCGCTGGAGGATGCGCGTCCTGAACGGCCAATTGAAATACGCCTGTCGTGTATCGAAGGGCTCCTGAAAGAGAGCCAGTCGTCACGCGTGTGGTGTTAAATAAAGAGGGGGGAAGAACACAATACGCACATGCCGCGCGACTTGTTCTATTACTCCTAAGGCGGGACCGTTTCTTCGCATGACAGTATGCATTGCAACTTTATGACACATCTAAGGTATCATCGTTTGCGGTATATCGTTTCCATGGAACGCAGAGGATAATGTTCATTGTGGCAAATTTTGCTCATATTCGCCGCGATGTCGAAGAGAAGAGAACGCGTTCTGTTTTTTATAACACGGTTGCTACAAAAATTCCGGATTTTACAGACTTGACGATGTGTTTTGAGATACCATCGGCTACAAAAATTTTTTAAAGTTTAGACAAAAATTGATATAAAAAGTAAAAAGAGGAGATAAGAAAAAGGAAACACGTTATTGCGCCCTAAAAAAAAAAAAAAAGGAAGAAAGAGAGCAAGAGAAGAGCAAGATGTGAAGTCTCCTGTCGTCAATCTTTTATTGTTTTATCGCGGGGTTGGTGGTCTCCGATTGATGGGTGATGATGACATGTGATTTATGATGCAGTGTGATACGGTGACGTAAGATTTGGTGTGCAGTATACATTAACTCGTCGGTGCTAAAGATTGAAAGCAACGATAAAAAGAGATAACGAAGATCTCCGTTCGTGAGCTTCGCCGATGTGTTCGCAGCGATGAATCGGAAAAATGCGACGTTTCGTTTCGCGATCTAATATATATGTGTGTACATGTGTGTGTATAAGAATTACGTGTGTATAAAAATTACGTGTGTATACAAATTAACGTAATATACATTGGTAACAATCGATTAATCGAATGAAATGTCATTTGCCGATTTTCACAACGTCTTGATATTACAATTATGCACGATTGTTTCACCTCGCGATATTCGTTTAGCGATTAGATATACCTCGATGCAAAAATAATTTGCATCCGAATTTCTCTCGTTATTAAAATTGACACGAACGATGTGAGGTCGATGAAATGTATGAACAAAGTCTCTTAAATGATAATATTATAAATATTGCCCTTAGTAATTAGCCTTAACAAATTGTACCATACTTTTTATTTGATAAAAAGATATAAAAATACATATAAACGAATATAATAAAAAAGAACATTATGCTCTTTAAAAAAATATTCTTTCTTTTCAAGATATAGTATATATTATGATGTTTACAGGAAAAAGAGAAAAAAAAGAAGGGATAGAAAAGAGCAAATTACATAAAAAGACATTTAATTGATTAATTGTTTTATATGTAATTAATTTTATGAATAATTATGATAAGCCACTGAATATAAACTGTCAAGGGACCTAAAATACTGCTGTATTTCGTACTTTAAGCGATAAACTCGTTTTTCCACTTATTGCCAATAATTTCACTAAAGTGTTGATTATCCTATCATTTAACAATTACATTCACGGCCTAATTGCGCGATGTTAAGTTGAATATAAAATAATTACATTTCATATAAGCATGCATCTGCAAGATAAAAGTTTTTAATACAGGATCTTTTTTTTCGATGTTCGATTGCTTCGAAGGTTTTATGCTTTCAACTTCTTTCTAACTCCGCGCGATTGTGAATTTCCGTGCAAGTAAAGAGAGAGAGAGAGAGGAGAGAGAGAGAGAAAGAGAGAGAAAGAATGGAAAGGTGGGACAAGGGGAGCGTGCATCGCGTGCGAAACGTAATTTCTCCCTTTTTCGTGTATTCTGTGTGTATCGTACAGCACGTACGAGAAACGGTCGATGAAAATCGATAGGAGAAACTTAACGAAAAAAAGAAAGAAAAAAAATATACCATCTAGAACGGTTAACATGTAGCGCACGAAGCTTTGCAATTATTGCCTTCCCTTTCGTGAGTGCGATCGTCTCTCTTCGATTCGTTCTCCCCTACGTATGTATTATTTGCGTCGTGAGACTTTGTTCAACTTCATCGACCAAAACTGATAAAGTATACGGTTGGCTCTTCAATACTTAATTACTTCCCCCTGCACTCCCTCTCTTCGTTCCCCTTCAATCATAATTATTATCGTAGAGTGTGTGTCTCGTGAATGGAAGGAAGGACAGGATGTACTGCTCATCTGTGAATACTTTTAAATGCAACTGGAACACGAAATTGCTCCGACGAGATTTAATTTACCGAGCGTTCAAAAAATTCCTCATGTCGCTCAATCGTAACGCGTAAAAAAAAGAAGAAAAAATGCGATCACATGATCAACATTCGGACGTCACGTTAAAGCCGCGAAGGAAGAAACTGTCGTTGAAAGAAAAATCCGATCAATCGTCCATGCGATCATCTCGTTGGCCCAGAGTTACGATATCCCGCGACAAACAGTCACATAGTGAGTCCAATGATCCCGAAAGGACCTTATTCCGATTCGGTTCCACGGTTAACGACCCCAACATAGTCGCTTGCGACATCGTCGAACTTCTCTGCGACGCGAGTAACGAAGAAAGGCCGACCTGTCCGCGTATCTCCAGCTCGACGGAGCTCGAGGAACAAGCTAAGGGCGTGTGTTTCACATGCAAAGATTGCGCGAAATGTCAGCTACAGCAGCAGCAGCAGCAGAACTGCGCCGCCGCAAAAATACACAAGACGGAAGAAAAAGAGGATCAGGACGAAGAATTGAAACACTTGGATTATTACGAAGTCGATGTTGTCGGCGGCGAGACGGATTCCACGATCGCCTCAGTTGAACACGAGAAAGCTCCGATTCTCGTTGATCTGACTAGCGAGGAATCGAGGAAAACCACCTGGAAGCAGACGATCCTGAAGCGATTCGACGACACCGAAGAGAGCTCGGAGGTGTCGGGTGAGAATGTGATAATGAGCAAAAGCGATGTATTGTCGGACGCAATTAATACTCCCCCCTCTCCCTCCCCTTACCGTCGTCAATCTTTATTAATTTTAATGTCCAATATTTTCTCCAGAATAGATATGATGCACGTCATGTGTATTCTGTATGTAGAATCAAACAGCCGCATAAAACGTGCGATATCTTAGGTAATCAAACAGCCATATGTATAAATCGATCTTCAAATATAGTTCTTCTAGTTTTTTTTCAATATCTCTTGTTGAAGCTTGAGAAATATAAACGCGGAAAATTATTCTGCCGCTTTCATATGTGTTTATTTACGGCGCGAAGAGAATATAAAAAGTGAAAAAATATTCCGATCACATTAATAAGCTTACAATAAAAGTCTCGAAAATTTCGATGTTATTACATCAACCGTATAATTTCTGAAAACATTGCTCAAAATCTTTTTGAGAAATCAACTGTATTGCGATATGTCAGATTATTGTAAGTGCCTTAAAAATCGTGGCGACCGTTACGAGGACCATCCTGTATATCTCAAATATGACAATGAAATTTTTAAATCTGTTTTTTCCTTCCAGAAAATTTGTCGATTAGGATTGCGGTATCTACTTCCTGGAAAAACATGAAAAATCTGGAATTCTTCGAGATTTCTATTATATTTGAAAAAAATCAGGAAATTCTCATGGAATTTTATTTAGACTCAGGGAATTTAAAAAAAAATTATCTCTTTGATAATTTTCCTCTTATAAGCAATTATCAATCCATCGATAAGTCAAATTATGAATTATGTGATTAAAATATATTATAAATATATATCTATCTCTTTGTTTATATATTCAATGTCTTAACAAAATATTGGATATGCAGTACATATTCTTTTTTGTAATTTTTAATGATAAAAATATGAAAATGTTATGCAAGTAAAAAATGTTTATCTTACAACTATCATTTTTTTTCAGTATATTTATAAATCTGGCACTTGAATCTAAGTGACTGTGATTTCCTTCGTATGAGTGAAGAGCATTAGAAAACAATTAGTATACAATAAAAAATTTTATTTTAGAAAGATGCACACACCAAAAAATTTTTAAACTATTTTTGTTAGCTGGAATTTTGTACAAAAATACCCCGGAAGATCAATTTTTTTACAAAATTTGAGTAAACACAGGTTGGTTTATATTTTTTCCGTCATGCGGAAAAAGATCTAACTCCGAATTTCGTTTTTTCTCAGAACCTCGCATCATGATAGCCGACAGTTCCAGCAGGTTGCAACGCGGCGGCACGGGTGGCAGCCTGGCGACCGCCTTGAAGGATCGCGGCTCTTGCGTGATCCCCGTACAGCCTAATCGCTCCCTGCCGATCCGACCGGCACCGCCGACGCCGACGAGGTCGGCGGCGTCGCTTGTGACGTCGCGGAAGACGTCGCGCTCACCGATACTCAAACTGTCGAACTCGCAAGCGTCGAATTGTGTCGACGTCGTCGAGGTGCAATCGGACATATCGTCCTCGATGTTGACGGACGATCTGAATCAATTCCCTCCTTTTGGGCAGCAGGATGGAAGCGAAATGATGCTCCCGCTCGATCGCTCGGATTACATTCTACCACGTATTCCGACTAATGCCGTACAGGTAGCAAATCAAACTTGGAGATCGAGCTGGTTTTCAGTTTTTTTTTTCCCGGAGGCGAATTAGATAAGGAACCGTGTTGTTTTCGAATTGTGCTATTATTTATATTAATTGTATATTATTTTTAATATACATATAAAAGAGATTTCTCTATCGTTACATTAAAGTAATTTGAGATTGCAATGTGAATTGCATGGATTTGTATAAAATACTGTCCCTCTTTTCTCTGTTTGTGAATTTAAAATTGGTAAATATGCATATTAGGGGAGCACTCTCCGATGATCTTAACCTTGACTCATGTTGTCAAAGTCATGACTTTTTGACTCTGAGTAATCCAAGAGGTTTTAACCGTCGCTCGTTGTTTATTAAAAAGTTATTAACAATTAAATTGTACGATAAGAACAAGTATTAAATACGATATAATCTGAACTTCTCTGAGCATGAATTTTATATTAGTTGTAAATTTAAGTATTTAAGTAAATGCGTGGGCGGGGGAGGGTCTCCGTCCCCCCCCTTCACTTTCATCCCAAAAAAACTTATCTAACTCAAACCTAATTTTTATTCAAAAAATAGAAATTGGTTTGAATTCAGTTAGTTTTTTAGAGAGTGGTGTGAAGGGGGGAGGCTCTGCCCCTCCCCCGCCCGCGCATTTACGTAAATACTTAAAGGGTACGCCAACCTAGAAATTTTTAAAAAATCGGTTTTTGGATTTTGACATTATCTTGTAGTGCAACATTTTGAAAGTATTCTCAGAAAATTTCAAGTTAGTCCGAGCAAAATTGACAAAGTTATAGAGTATATTTCTCGAAGTAGCGCTCGGAACACGTATGAGACTTGCCGCGCGGCAGCCGTCGCATGGATCTATAATCTTCTGAGAGATTTTTAGAAAGATAGATTAGCAATAGGTTAGATAAAAACGGTAGCCTTAAAGGTAAGTTAGATAGACAGAGTAGCAGTTAGCTTTGAGCTGTGAAGTAGAACGGTCATTTTCAGTCTAAAACTTCAAACGCCTTTTTCTCAAAATCACGTTTTCAAAGCCGATGACCAACATAACTCAAAAAGTAATGAATCGATTTACTTGAAAATTTTCAGGCTTATTTTAGAATTAAAAATCTCGGCGCTATCGGAGGCTTTCCTTTCTTTTTGCCTAGATTTTTACACGCGAAAAACTAGCAATTTTTACCCAAAATCTATTTTTCAACTTTGCCACACCGCCATTTTGTTAAATAATAATTTTTCAAAAATCCGATGGATCCTAGATAATTTAATATATTATCAAAATTTTGTCGAATTTTTGATTTCATATAATCCTGCTCCGAGCTACAATGGTCACCGCAAAATGCCTAAAAAACAAGAATCCCGGGCATCGGCTATATCTCGTTTATTTTTTAATATTTTTCAACAAAAGAAAACTGAATTACGTTCAATATGTACTCGTAACAGTATACTAATGTTTTTTAATAAAAGTGCATTGGTTTTTTTTTAATTCTCCAAAAAGCATATTTTGTTAACCCTTCTAGATAGGCTTGCCCCCTTAAATATATAACTAATATAAAATACATCGTTTTTTTTTAATCAGAGAAGTTTAGATTAGCGCTTTTAATATTTGTTCTTATTATACAACTTAATTACTTTTAATTACTTTAATAACTTTTTAATAAATAACGAGCGATAGTTAAAAGGATAGCGATAGTTGGAGGTTACTCAGAGTCATGACCTCGTCATCATCCCAGATAGCCAAGTCTGTTCGAACAGATTTTGCCAAACGTCTGTTACAAATTTTTGTCAGCAGAAAGATTCCAGATTGTATACAAAGTCTGTTATATCAAATAATAATAGCAGAATGTCAGCAGAAATGTTACAAAACGTGCTGACATAATTTGACAGCAGATCAGTAGCAGAAACCGAGCAGGATTTGCATAGAATTATTATAGCAGATAGCCAGCAAAAACCGAGCAGGATCTGCACAACGCAATTTGATGTCAAATTGATAGCAGAAATCAAGCAGGATCTGCGCGCCCGCAATCTGACGGCAGATTGGTAGCAGAAATCGAGCAGGATTTGCTAACATGACTTGACATCAGATTGTCGGCAGAAATCGAGCAAGATCTGCGTGCGCGCAATCTGATGGTAAATTGGCAGTAGAAATCAAACAGAATCTGCAGCTTTTAGCATTCATATAATTTATTGAAATAGTATAGTTTATTCGCTTACAGCTATGCGGCGCACTATTCACTTTCTATACCCGTATTCAAGTTCTTGTCACGAGCGTATATAATGCCTGCAAAATGCGGCTAATAACATCGTAATTATTTCTATCAGTTTAATTTCTGATACGTCTCCCATACCGGGAATTCAGATATTGAACTGATTTTTAGAAAATCAGACAGATAAATGTCCGATTTTTACTTATTCGGAAAGAAATTATCCAAATAAGTGAAAATCGTTTGTTATTATATCTATTTAAGATATAAAATAGAAATTAACTTCCATATAAATAAAATATTTTAATTTTGATTTAATTTCATAAATTAAATTATTCAAATTTTCCTATATATATTACATTAATATATATTATTAATATTATAAATTTATGTTATTAATACAAACGTCAGAAAATGACATCTCGTGAAGGTGACATATCAACTATTGACGTCATTTTTTAATCTTATGAGACCTAACTTTAAGACGTCTAATTGATTATTTTGTGACCAAAATTTAATGTCATTTTGCTACTTGGAATCGAGATCTTTTAAATGTTTAAATCCATTTAAATGTACCATTTTATATAAATGTCTAGAAACTGCTCGATTTCTGCTGTCAATCTGCCGTCAGATTGCGCGCAGGCTCTGCGTGATTTCTGCTGCCAATCTGCTCACATTGCCTGTCAGCAGGCTCTGTCGACAAAACCTGAGCTTAATGTGGTCACAGATGGCTATGGTTTTGGCATGGAATTCTGATTAAATTTGCTGCCAATCTGCGCGCATGCTGCTAGCATTTTGCTATCTGGGATATGTCAAGATCAAGGTCGTCAGAAGATAGTCTCCTAATATGCATATATTTACCTTAAAATTGATTATTAGAATAATCTCGTATAATGATATTAATTCGTCAATATTTGCTCTTTTATATTTGTTTTATGTATAATTCTTATAGTTCACAGTTAAATTGGAGCTACTCTAAAACAAGCAATATAGTCACAGATCAAAATTGAAGATTATTAGAGTCAATCAATAATTGCCTTCTTTAATTATACGATGTTGTAAATATCATTTAATGACGATTGTCACATTACAGACTACGAAAGAGATCAACAATATTAAGAAAAAAAACGGCGAAGATAGAGACAGAGAATACGAGAAAGAACTCAACAAAGACGTGAAGAAACGGAGGAAATCCCACGAAATGGACGCCGGCTATGTATGCGACGAACGCGTCAAGAATATTTTGAAAGAGTATTCCAAAAGCTGTTCGAATAATTTGATCGACAAAGGAGAAAGGAGATCGCAACAGCACGTGGTGATAAGACTGTGGGATGATAGAAGATATTCGTCATCCGTCGTGGTATCAACGACGGAGCCAGAGGGGGAAACAACGAAGGAAATTTGCAACAAAGTTGTGCCGCCCTTAAGACTGAAGAAAATCGTGGGCGAAGGTACGTCATTCTTTGGTATTCGATGCTTCTGATTAGCTATACCAAGGGAATTATTTGTTTTGTTGCAATGTTGCTGCAATATAATTGCAATGATCTGTGCTGTATGGGAGTATTCATAAATTCTTTGCAACCAGGAGATAATTGGTAAATTTTTCGTAGAATTAAACATTAAAAAAAAGAACTTTATATTCATGCGCGCGCGCGTATATATTAAAATATTAAAAATGGCTTTCTTCACATTGTTACTTGTTAGTTGTTTGATTTTATTTTCAGCGAGCACTACCAACGAATATCGCAATATTGAGATGAACGCCGGGAAGTCGGGGAACGAGCCCAATTATCGCATCGTCACTGGTGCCACGCCACGTCCGGAATCGCCGTCCGGGTACTCCGCCACTTCCTTTTGGAGCAGCATAATCTCGGAGACAGAGCTTGGCGAATCGTCGACGCGAGACAAGAGTCGACGATCCTCGCCGAAGAGTGACGGCTACAAGATCAAATATCGTCGCAACCGTTTGCGTCAGAAGTTACAAGAATTACGCGGCAAGGCATTGGAACTTTCACGGGAGATGGCCGAGTGCAACAACGCCGGCGACACGAGCCCGCAGCGTAGTACTCGGCTGCGTCAGATGATGAATTGCTACGAGAAGCAGATCGAGAATATCTCGAAGTTGTTGTGCAAACTGTCCGCTTCTATACCATCGACGACCGATGACGACGTTGTCGTCGATCTCGACTATGAGTTGGACGAGCGCTCGATTTCAGTCGAGACAACCGTCGACAGTGATATCGCGCAGGTAAACGGAATGGTTGAAATTGGATGAAATAGTTGTTGCAAAATCTTTCTGTTTTTTAGAACAAAAAAATTTTTTTTTTCTTCGGGAAGAGGACCGTCATATCGGAATCCATTCTCGATGAATAAAACTTCATCTCGTTTGTACAGAGTAGACCAATTTCGTCGATTATTTCATACGATGCCATTTCCACTAACCGCTAATACCTATGTTTGGAAAGGTAAACGGAGTATCCAGAAGCAGTATTTCCCCGTCTCCTTCCCCGGAACCACCAAAGCTGTCACCTCGTTCTCCTATCGACTACGAGAGAGGTAAATCGCCCGATGCAATGAGAGATAGTCCACCAGTGCTACCCAGAGTTTACATCGCGATCCAGCCAACTGCTCTGGAGTGTCCGAAGCAAAATTTTAAATCTACCTCCGAGAGCTGGCACGTAGGCGACAGCTCGTCAAGCTTGACGATCGAAAAGGATGTGAAGATGAATGATACAAATCGAACAATAATTCGCGATAGTGTAACAAGAGCACCTGCAATTGTATCTTCGGTTTCATCGTTGGAGTTCGAAGGTGCGGGAAGCAGTACGGCAGAGTGGGACAGAGAAGAGGCTTTGCCAAAACTGAAGAATTCGGAAATCAAGGAGAAGATAACAGAGTATAACAAAACGTTCGACGACGTTCATCGACAAGTAATTTCGCCAATATCTTCGGACAACTTTTTGATAGGTTCAACAATGGATCTCGAGATAGATGGAAGCGACATGAGAGACATAAAGGAAGGACCAGCTACTCAAATTGATCATCTCGACGAAGTAACTCATATCTTGAAAACCGTCGCGAACAAACAGACTGCTTGCGAAAAACAGGAACCGGATCAAAGATCGAACGAGGCTTTATCGTCATCGAGTCCGCCGATTGTCGAAGAAACTAGAAAGGTCACGGAATATGGAAGCTACAATTCGGAGGAAAGTATTAACAGCGAGGGTAAAGCGGTCGTGAACGCGGTCACTGCTGCACAGGATGCTGTGTCAACGATAGCAACTGGACAACCGCAAATACCGACCGCTAATGTGACTAACATCTTACAACTGCAGTCAAATTATTATGGTCCGTCCGTCGCGCGAGACAACGTAGTTTTTACGGGCGTCATACAGAATTCAAGGGATGCGCAGAAGGTAAACGATATATGAAAAATATTAGCTCTTATCTGCCAGTATTCCCATTTAATTGTTTGTACCATGAGCCTATTGCTATTATTATCGAAAAATATTATTCTCTCCCATGGGGGGAGATCTTTCTCTCCCAAATAAAATTATTAAATAATCAAATAAATCTCTATCAACTACTAAAATCCAAAAACTGCATGTCCAGATGAAAAATAAAACAAATGTCAAAATAAAACAAGAAACAGGCAAATAAGAGTCATCATATTTCAGTAAATCTTTGAACAATGTCCAATACTCTCCTTCAAGTTTTCTTTTTTTTAAATATTTTTTAAATATTGGATACCCATTTTCGATTTCATTCTCGCCTTCGTCTAAAGTCTAAAAGTAAGACTATAAGAGCCAATTCATCGTCGCTGAATGATCCATTCATTGTGACTGCTAAACATCAACCGTCAACTGTCGGACGATTACCGAAGCAGTCTGAACATATGCATTTAATCGTACGTTTCGGTCCATTTTCGATATGACAGATTTCCTCTTTTCTTTTGTTTAAAGTCGCTGAAAATAGTCCGAAGACGGATCAAAACGTATGAGAGGCCGGTATTCATAGTCCGTTCTTATATTCAAGATAGTCTTAAGTATGGTCTTGGGTCGTTTTAAGATCTCATTCAACCAATGAAATGGCCGCTTAGCATCTTAAGACCGTACTTAAGACGATCTTGAATATAAGAACGGACTATGAATACCGGCCATAGAGTAGATAATTGATAGAGATTTATTTGACTATTTAATAATTTTATTAACCTTTAAAATGGCATGTTTCAAAGTTTTGTCGTGCTGGTGCCGGTCCGTGCGGTATAGTGTGAATCGATCTTAAATGTCTTTTTTCAAGCGACGCGGTAGCGTCGCGACGCCAAGTATATAAGAAATTCTTTCAATCTTGTCGACAGTTTTGCCTATGTATAGGGGCCGCGGCGCTACCAAAAGTAGCTTATCCGAAGTTTTACGTCCAATGAACTTTCGATTAAAATTTCTCAAGAACTAAAGCCGTAATAAAAAATCTAACGGCACTTTTCTGATGCAATGTGGATACACGCTTTTGATTGCGACCAGTTTGAATAAGATTGGTGCAGTCAATCCTGAAGAATGATAATTGTATACCATCAGAAATGTGACATTTTCATTTTTCTTCAGAATAAGGATAATCAGACTCAAGTACGTATGCTCGCACGCACACACGCAAAGCGATTTTGTCAAGGCGCGTTTGCAGCGCTCATGTACGATTATTTGCTTGAGTGTGCAAATAATGCAATGAAGAGACGAAAAGTGATAAGAGTATCGTGGAATAGTGCAACAAGGAAGAGAAGTGATAAAGTGACAAGAAATCATTAATGCGGAATAGTGCAAGGAAGAAAAGTGATTTCTTTTAATCGATGTTATATTGAGCAAAGTTAGGTTACATTAGTGAAACTGAGCGAATGCTTACACTGGAGTGAATCATTAATTAATTAACATATTTGTAATAAATACATTGTTGTTGGAAAATGATTATGGAAGAATCGAAGGAATATTTGGAGATTTTGGCTGGTCATGTTTTCAAAGCTCGTAATTATACACGCAAACGCGCATTCATGTATATAATGTTTATTTGTATTTTATATATAAATGTAATTAATGCATGATTAATATTTTTAGGTTAACTTACAAATGTCTAAGCAATGAGTTTATGCTAATGTAGCAAAATAAATCTTGTGAGAATTCTACCAAAAATATCATAAAAACAACAGCATTGAATATACATTTCTATTAATTGGCTTCATATAGAATAATGAAATAATAATATCATATCAAAGCAATTCTATGTCCACAAACATTTTGCAGATTTGGAATTACTCGCAACTTTTGATTCTGGAAATGTGAATGTTTATTTATATTTTATATATAAATATTATTAATGTGTAATTAATATTTTTAGGTCACTTATAAATGGCTAAGCAATGAGTTGCATGTTTATGTACCCAGATAGCCAAGAATGTTAAAATCACGTTTTACCAAAGCTTTGCGACAAGGTGTGCTTTAATTTTGACAACAATTGTGTAGCAAACATCTATCTTGTTTTGGTTTGTCAAAAAGTTTGAAGCAAATTGACGGCAAAATGTTTCGCCTCACGATGCTGTAAATAATAGGAAAAGGCTTGCCCGTAAATTTTACGCATAGAAGAACACGTATGATGCTAATTCACGGTGTAACACAAACTTTACGCCAATTAGTAGCAAATCTTGTTATACACGCTATAATAGCAAATTTACGACAAGAACAGAGCAAACCTTATTGTACACGATATGATAACACATTTACGGAAAGAACAGAGCAAAGTATACTCTGGCACAACGAGACGCAAAATTCACGCAAATAACAGAGCAAACCTTGCCATGCACGGCATGACAGCAAATTTACAACTTTACTTTATTACAAACTTTACAAAAATATAGTATTCTGCCGATAATTCGTTTATTCATCGCTATGCGACGCGCTATATACATCCATCTCGTATTTGATTTTTAGTCATGAGAAGTATATAAAGCTTGCAAAGAGCAACTGGTAGAAGATTAAAAATATAATTATTTCTATCAGTTCAATTACTGATACAATCCCAACATAGGGAATTCAGATATTGGACTGATTGTTCCTCTTAGATCGGGCAGATAAATGTCTGAAAAAGTTTAAATCATCCGTTTATTGTTTACTTAAAATGTAAATATATATATATATAAAATTCATATATTCATCATATTATGAATTCATTTTCAATTATTCATATATTATCATCATCTCATAATTATAATAAATGTCATCTAAGACTTTGTCTGCGCGGTCGCATAGCTTCTAAAAACGACGTGTCAAACAAAGAACGGATTGTTTCACAAAATAGTCCTCTCTGCGAGATTTATCGTTTCTCACAATTTGTCACAGAAGTCCTGAATCACTCACCCCGTATAGAAAATTACCATAAATTTGCTATCACGCCATGCACAGCAAGGTTTGTTCTGATCTTGTTACAAATTTGCTATCATATCGTGCATGGCAAGGTTTGCCCTATTCTTGCCA